AAAGGACTTAAAAACAGCACACTACAGTGACGCAGCCACATCCATGTTTATAGCAGCTCAATTGGCAAAGGCCAAGCTATGGAAACAACCCAGGTGCCCTCCAACACTTGAATGGATAAAGAAAATGTATATATACACAATGGAATATGACTCATCCATAAAGAAGAATGAAATCATGGTATTTGCCAGCAAATCAATGAAACTAGAGAATATCACGCTAAGTGAAATAAGCCAGTCCCCCAAAACCAAAGGCTAAATGTGGATGCTGACCCAACCAAAAACGGGAGGTTGGGGAGGGGAATAATAGAAATCCATTGGATTAGACGAAGGTAAATGAAGGGGGCGGAGAGGGGAGGGGAATAGGAAAGGCAATAGAATTCATCCATCATAACTGTTCCAGCCGTATATTTGTATACACGACCAGGGTAACTCCATATCCTGTACAACCACAAGAGTGGGATCCCAAATAAAATAAATATCTATGTATGTATAATCTGCCAATATCCATTCTACTGTCATGTATACTAAAAAGAAATAAATTTTAAAAATATAGACATTTACCCAGGTCAATAAATAAGGCGCTTTCCCACCCCTGGCCGTGTGTGTGTGTGTGTGTGTGTTTGTTTCTGGGAATTGAATGCAGGGCCTAGTACTTGTTAGGTAGTGCTCTACTACTGAGCAACACCCCAGCCCTATATCTTGTTATTTTCTTTATTGTCTACAAGATATCAATAACCAGCCGGGCGCAGTGGCACATGCCTATAATCCCAGTGGCTCTGGAGGCTGAGGCAGAAGAATTGCAAGTTCAAAGTCAGCGTCAGCAACTTAGTGAGGCCTTAAGCAGTTTAGACAGAATCCTCTCTCAAACTAAAAAATAAAAAGGGCTGGAATATATATATATATATAAAGTCAATGAAAGATTAAAAAGAAAAAGGGGCTGGGGATGAGGCTCAGTGATCAAGTGCCCTTAGGTTCAATCCCTAGTACACTTTCTCTCTCTCTCTCTCTCTCTCTCTCTCTCTCTCTCTATATATATATATATATATATATATATATATATATATATATATGTAATCAACAATAATCAATAACCATAGTGAAAAGATCAATAACTATAATGAGCATCTAATGATAGATCATGTTCATCCTTTTCTCCCATCTCATTCAGTCTGTTTTCTCACAGGTAGAGGGATAATTCAGAGGAATTTTTAAAATTAATTTCGGGGATTGAACTCAAGGGCATTCAACCACTGAGCCACATCCCAGACCCATTTTGTATTTTACTTAAAGACAGGGTCTCACTGAGTTGCTTAGCGCCTGGCTCTTGCTGAGGCTGGCTTTGAACTCACAATCCTCCTGCCTCAGCCTCCCCAACTGCTGGGATGACAGGCGTGTGTCACTGCGCCCAGCTACTTCAGAGGACTTTTTAACAGATGAAATAAGGCATGTTTGTAAACCGTTGGCACTGTGCCCAACAGTGACTCCACAGGCTGTTAAGGTCAGCTGTCTTCATTCATCTATTCAACAAATAATTTCTACCATTTGTTACATTCAGTGTGCCAAGGGATTATGCTAAGGGTTCATTTAATCCTGACCCCAAACCAATGAGATAAGTAATATCATTATTCCTGTTTTTCACACTAGGAAAGTGAGTGACCAAGGGGCTAATATCTCATCTAAAGCCACAGAGTAAGCAAATAGTGGATATCCAACCCCCAGAAATTCAGATGCCAAGGTGCATGTTCTCCCCACACCTGCCTCTGAGAGGAAGCTATTCACGGGGCATCTCCTCTGTGCTGGTGCTGGGCTCTTATACCAGGCCCTGTGTATGTTCCCAACTGTGGGTGGGAAGCAAGGCCGTAGCTGGTCTCTCTGCACCATTATGATGACCCAGCCCCAGCTCCTACCATCTAGTGATGTCATTGCACCTGTTTTAATTTTACTGCTACCCAGCTGCTAAGAAATGCCTCTCCTGCTCGGTTGGTCATGGATACTCCCTGGCTCTCCTGGGTTGTCAGGATCTGTCCTCCCCATGTCTCCCTTTGCCAGTGAGTCTCTGTGCTTCTTGGAAGCAGGAACCAGATCTCTGTGATCAAGCTCTATACCTGGGTATCAAATAAATGAATAAGCAAATGAATGGTCAGGAGCAAGTGAGTAGGTGGATGACAATAAACCAATGGGCCTTTCTGGGCCAGTGAATGGACTGGTGGGGGCTGGCGTGGATCCTAAGGGCTGCTCTGAGAAGAGAACCAGCCCTTGCAGCCAAGTCACTGTGCATAGTCTCCCTCTCTTCTGACTGCCTGGCCCCAACTCCCCAATCCTTGCAATCTGGTCGCAGCACACAACCAATGGCATTTCAGTTACTGTTACAATTTTAGCTTGTTGCTCTTCCGGGCCGGCTTCTGCAGACACTCCAGGCGAGGTCTTCCTCCAAAGATCTCCAAGACTGACTGCAAGGGTCTGAGGTGAGACCCAGGTAGGGCCCGGAAAACCCAAGGTTCACCCCAGATGCCCTAGCCCACGGGGGAGTCCTGTTGAACACTGGTGTCTAACACTGACATTACCTGTCTGAGGAACACTGCTAAACTGGAAAGTGCCCAGGACCAGCCTCACCGTGCCCATTCAACTTCTTCTGCTCTGAATTTTAGGATCCCCATCATCCCCATCTGTCAACTGAGCACCACGAACTCATCATATCCGGCCTCTGATATAAAGCAGGATTCAGTGGTCATCAGGCAAATAGATAAATGGATTGCCTGGAGATAAGGAACAGAAAGAGCCCCTTGGTCCCTAGCTTGGAGGCCAGAAGAGGCTCGAAGCCCTTTGCTCCCTCCCCGCTAATGCCGAGCCCAGGCATTAGCCCTGCCGGGCCTGAGGTGGCGCCCGGCCAGCGGCCAGCTGGCCACCTGGAGCTGAGCCTAGGAAGGACCCGGAGGGGGCGGGGGCGGCGCGGGGCGGGGCCAGGCGGGGCGGGGCAGAGGCCGCGGAGTCCCACCTGCAGAAGCAGGTCCTTCCCCAAGGCTGTCACAGTGAGAACCAGCCGAGGTGGCGCTCCTCACGCGCCAGCCTGCTGGCACGTTACCGGGGTTTACGACAAGCACCGACGCCAACAGTGGGCGTCCCGGGATGAACGATGGAAATGCGAGGCCTCCTCCAAGGGAGGCCCACACACAGGCCTCTGCTTTTGCTGGGAATCCCGTCTGACTGCAGCGAGCTCTGTACCAGGCTCGGTTCTAAACACTCTAAGTGGGTTAGCTCGTTGAAGCCTCCTAACAACCCTACGAGGTGCCTACTAGGATCACTCTAGGTGGAAAACTGAGATTCTGGGATGTGCACCGGCTGTCCCCGGGGGTCCACAACAGGAAGAGGCGCGTGGATCCGTGTCTGACTGCAACCCCAGCTCGTGTGGACAAGGATAAACCAGAGGATAAGTTTTGCAAAGCCAGGTGCTTCGTTCACAGTGATCCTCAGACATTGGTGCGCTTTGAAAATCTTTGGGAGGGGAGTATCGTGGGCCTCAGCTGCGCACGCCTGTAAGCCCAGCGGCTCAGGAAGCTGAGGCAGAAAGATCTCAACTTCAAAGCCAGCCTCAGCAATTTAGCGAGGCCCTGAGCAATTTAGTTGAGACCATGTCTAAAAATAAAAAATAAAAAGGGCTGAGAATGTGGATCAGTGATTAAGCACTCATGGTAGCAATCCCTGCTAAAAAACAAAACAAAACAAAAAAACCTTTCAGGAGAGGAAAGAGTGCTTACTTTAAATTCATATTTCAGGGGCTGGGTAGAGAGTATGAATGCTTAATATGCCTGCCGCCCTGAGTTCAGTTCCCAGCACTAATAAATGAATTCAGATTTGACCCCAACTTAACACTGTCTAGTTTTGTAGGATTGTGGTAAGGGCTGAAATTTTGCATTTTGAACAGGCTTCTTGGGGATTTTGAAGAAGCCTGTCTGCAGATGGCATTTGGAGGGAGCATCATGGTGTTTAAAGCACCTGAATAATATATAGTCAGTCCTCTATACAAGAAGTTTCGACATCCACTGACTCAACCAATCACAGATGGAAAATATTTAGAAAAAAAAAATTGGATCTGTACTGAACATGTGCAGATTTATTTTTATTGTCACTATTCCCTAAATTATTCAGCATAACAACTATTTACATGACATTTACATTGTATTAGGTGTTATAAGACATCTGGAGATGATTTTTAGCATATAGCAAGATGCGTGTAGGCTATTATGTTTTGTCTGTGTGTGGGGTGGGGTTACTGGGGACTTAAACCCCTTTACCATTGGGCTACATCCCCAGCTCCCCCTTTTTTTTTCTTTTTTTGATACCGGGAATTGAACCCGAGGGCACTCAACCACTGAGCCACATCCCCAGCCCTATTTTGTATTTTATTTAGAGACAGGGTCTCACAGAGTTACTTAGTGCCTAACCATTGCTAAGCCTGGCGTTGAACTCCTGATTCTCCTGCCTCAGCCTCCCCAGCCGCTGGGATTACAGGTGTGTGATGCTGCACCTGGCAACTATTAAGCCATTTTTTTAAATAAAGGACTTGAACATCCATGGATTTTGATATCTGTAGAGGGTTCTGGAACCAATCCCCCAGGATACCGAGGACAGTTATACAATATGCACTCAGACGAGCTCCTCCCTGACGGGCAACAGGGGTAAAGACAGAGTTCGGGAAGGGTGAGAGATCACTGACAGGTGCCCACTAGGAGAGCATCAATAAAAGGCTGAGTGTAGGACAGGATTGGCGAAGGTCTTTACATACACGAGGCCTTGGGCTCAATCTCCAGTACTCAAAAAAAAAAAAGCATCAATAAACCCCTATTGCCGGCCCTACAAAGGCAGGTCTTTCTGCCCAGAGATTCAAATTCTTGGGGTCTCCCCAGGTGGGTGGCGCGAGGCGCTGCAATCCCACCCCAGGACGCAGGGGGCGCCGTTCTGCTTCTCTCCGGCGGAATGGGGCACTGCTTTCTGCGCCTGCGCCAAGAAAAAAAACCTCACTTCCGGCTCTGCGCGGTCACAGCCCGAGCTGGCCGTACGGCTAGGTGAGTAAAAGATGGTGTTTTTCTTGGGCTCTGAAGCCCACCGCCCTGTGCGACCCTTCCCCGCAGTGTCGTAGAGATGCGCGGCCCTCCACCACGCGCTCCCCGAGCCAAGGCTCCCTCCCGGGGCGACCTCGAGGCCAGTGCGGCTCCCCGCTCCCGGCCCTTGTGCTGAGGCCTGCGGCGCCGGGGTACAGTGCGACACCGACTGCTCCGTCCCCTCTGTGCTCCCTCCACCCACTCAGCCCTCCCTCCCGCTCTTTGCAGACAGTCACCATGAAGTTCAACCCCTTCGTGACCTCGGACCGCAGCAAAAACCGCAAACGCCACTTCAATGCCCCCTCGCACGTGCGCAGGAAGATCATGTCTTCCCCGCTCTCCAAGGAGCTGCGGCAGAAGTACAACGTCCGCTCCATGCCCATCCGCAAGGACGACGAGGTCCAGGTACGCGCTCGCCCCCCGGAGCCTACCAAGTGCAGGGCTCCGGGCCACTGCCTGTGCCCGAGTGAGGGAGTCGCAGGCACTCAAGCGGCTCAGGATCCTAGTAAGAGCCGGGCACAGTGGCGCAACTCTGTAATCCCAGCTCGGGAGGCTGAGGCAGGAGGATCGAGAGTTCAAAGCCAGCCTCGACAAAAGCGAGGCGCTAAGCAACTCATTGAGATCCTGTCTCTAAATAAAATACAAAAAACAGGCTAGGATGTGGCTCAGAGGGCCATCAGCTTGCTCCAGAGTTTAAAAAAAAGTAGCCTAACAAGTACCCAGTCTGCAGATGTGCAGATCAGGGATGGGGTGCAGAGCCGCTGGAGTGCCCACCCTGTTTAAAATATTCCAGCCAAAGAAAAGTCTGCTTTTCAGTCTAGCCAGTGGCTTTTAGTTTGTAAGCTATTGTTCAGGGTGGTTCTTTGAAGGGGAAAATGCTCCTTTTGAGTTTGGTAGAATTGATGTTTGTGGGAGCCAGGCCTATAATATACTAGTCTTGCCAGGGAAAATGGAGAAGCCACAGCAAGTCAGAAGTGAAAAATTATGAAAGGCTGTTCCCTGTGAATGGAGCTCAGAATGTGAGGGTGAATGAAATAGGTTGGACTGGATTCACCCCTGGAAGGAATATTTATTGAGCACTTCCCAGATACTGTTCTAGACACTAACGGTGAACAAGACTGAGTAAGCCTTCGTTCTCATAGAGCTCACATTTTGGAGCAGGGCTTCTCAACCTCAGCACTGTGGATATCTGGGACCCAATAATTGTGGGGAAACTGCCCTGGACATTATAGAATGCTTAACAGCATCCCTCCCTTCCCACTAGGTGCTAGCAGCATTCCCCATCTTTGTCACTGTGACAAGCAAAAATATTTCCAGATATTGCCAGTTATCCCCTAGCTGACCCCAGTTGTCTCCCCCAGCTGAGAACCATTGTTTAGAAATGAAATGGGATGAAGTGAAGGGGTTTGATGTGTCATCTGAGACACTGGAGCTCTCTGGAGGTAGTTCAGAGGGAGAATCTAGGGCTGGATTGTGGCTCAGCATGTGTGAGGCCCTGGGTTCAACCCCCCAGTGCTGCAAAACTTGGAGGCAGGAACAATAGTTTCAACCTCTTCTCTCCTGGATTCTTCCTATCAGTCATGTTCTAAAACTGGGAATTGCAAATGCCTACAGGGGCTGGGTTGGCAAATTAAATAAGAAAAGTGGATTGATTAGGACATGTCAACCTGAAAAGTTGATTCCTTGTTTGAAGGATGTATGTCTTACCCACTGCAGCCTAGAGGAAACTCAGACTCGGTATTGTCAGAGTTTGGCTTTACAAGAGAACTGGAAAATTGGATTCTCTTTGCCAGCCCATTTCCTTCCACCTTCTACTGTCTGTTGCCCATTTCTTAAATAAGCTCCTCAGAAGAACTGTCTATATTTCATCTCCCATTCATTCTTGGATATTCTCCAGTCTCATTCCTGTTCCTACTACTTCATAAAATCTGCTTTGACTGCAGTACCTCTTTGTGATTAAATCCAGGGGACACATCTTCTCTCATCACACTTCTGACTTCTCAGCACTATTTGTAGGTAGCACCACGTTAGTTGAAGAAGTCTTGGCCTCTTTGACACTTCAGGTTCACAGTTTGCTTCCAGCTTCTCAGACTCCCTGCTGGCTGTTTTTCTCTTCATCTCCTCTTGCTCTGCATTCTCTGCCTAGGTATGTACAGTAACAGGTAATATTTTATTCTCAGAATTGTAAATGTCTGCTCTGTAACACCTCCCTCTTACATGCCAGCCTGAATCACTACAGACCTATTTGCTGAATGTCTGTTTAGATATCTTATAGACTTTGCAAGTTTCTTAACCAAGAAAAGACCTGTTTTTTAAGGTAGTGCTGCTTTACACTGAGCTATATCCTTAGCCCGTAGCCTTTCTTTTCTGAGGTAGAGTCTCACTCAGTTGCCCAGGCTGGCCTAGAACTTGGAGTACTCCTGCCTCAGCCCCCTGAGTCACTGAGGTCACAGGTATGGCCACCACACCCAGCTGCCATAAACCTTTAAGTTATCCTCAACAACTTTATTTAAACCCTGTCTTCTGCACTACTACTAAGTCCTGTTGATTTTATCTACAGAAGAAGTCCATTCTGACTATTTCCAGTTTACTTCAGGAAAGGGCTGAGGACACTCCTGGGTTCAATCCCCAGTACCTCTGCCCATAAAAAGTCTAAAATTGTTGCCTACAAGGCCCGACGTGCTCCACGGCTGTCCTCCCCTGCAGCTCATCTCCTAACCCCACCAGGCCCTGCATTTCAGTCACGCTTATCTTATCAGATCCTTAAATACCCCTTATTTTTTTTTCTTCCGCTCCCTGGAGTGCTCTCCTCCGCATTACTCGGCTGACTCCTCATTTCTGTTCTTAAATGTCAGTTCCTCAGAGAATCCTTCCCAGATCCTTGAATCATTTTATAGCATTGCATCCTTCACTTTCCCTTCATGAAAGTGCACTTCAAATTGCGTCTCTGTGGGTGACTCCCAAGTCCCTGTTGGTGGTTCATGTGGCCTTCAACGGTGTATCAGATTCTGCTGTCTGTTGAATGTTCCCTCAGTGCTTCAAAATCATCATATTCCACACTGAACAATTTTCTCCTAAAATCTGTCTCTGCATCTGTGCTCCTTGTCTCTGGGAAAGGCATAGCCCCCAAGTTGTCCTGAGAACCTCTGGTCACATAGACTCATGTTAATTTTTCAGTGAGGCATGGCTGTCCTCTTTCCAACCTGTGTTGCAGTAATTCACGTGCAGGTCAGCATGAGAAAGAAAGAAGAAGCAGAGCAAGCAAAGCAGCAGCAGAAAAAAAGTCCTTTATCGTGTACGAGCAATCTTTTTATAGTATTGTGAACAAAGAAGGCAGCCTTCCAACAGCAATAAATCGGGTCTTTCAGCTAATTAAACAGAGCATACAGAAGTTTTATTTTCTAATCAGAAGTGACCCGCTTCTCATGGCTAATCTACTCTCGGCCTGGAGCATGCCGAGCTCTGCTCTTGTTAAGAACAGATAATAAAATTTTTCTCATCACCCTCCTAGCCCACTTGGCAGAACATCCCGTTTGTAGGCAAGTCCTCCCAAGGACAGCAGACACCTCATTTTCAAGCATGTCCGCCGTTACCTTATCTAAACCTTGAAGGAGCCTCTTGTTTGCGAGTAGGCCCTCCCAAGGACAGCAGACACCTCGTTTTCAAGCATGTCCGCTGTTACCTATCTATACCTTGACAGAATATCTCGTTTGCAGGCAGACTCCATCAAGGACAGTAATAGTAACGCAGTCACATCTGATTCTCTACAACCTGAAAATCACTCTTAAATGTATGCTGAACACTCCAGATGGACAGCTTAGGAGTGCTGAGGCTCATTCTCTGATGACTGTCCTAGTCCCAAGGAGTCTTGATGTTTCTTTTTATTTTTTAATATTTATTTTTTAGTTTTCGGTGGACACAACATCTTTGTTCAATCATCCTTTGCTGAGGATTGAACCCGGGCCTCACGCATGCCAGGCGAGTGTGCTACCGCTTGAGCCACATCCCCAGCCCCGAATCTTGATGTTTCTTCAGACAAGTGGAGGAAAAAAATTAAGTGAAGAATTTCTAGCTAAGCTAGCATAACAAAGCAGATTTATGCCATAAACTAGCTGATGTTTCACTGCCAAGACTTTTTCACAAAAGATTGTGTTCAGCCTACATGTTCCTGAAAATCAGCTTCCTCATTATGATGTCATCCATTACAGGGGGTTCTCTTTTATACTTTCTCTTAGGTGGTTCGAGGACATTACAAAGGTCAGCAAATCGGCAAGGTAGTCCAGGTGTACAGAAAGAAGTATGTCATCTACATTGAGCGGGTGCAGCGTGAGAAGGCTAATGGCACAACCGTCCACGTGGGCATCCATCCAAGCAAGGTATGTCCTGACTGAGGGGGGGGGCAACAGCCATTTAGTGTAGTGTTGCCATTAGTTATTGACATGTTGGTGCTCTCTGCACAGGTGGGTGAGGTAAGGGCTTAGAGGCAGGCTGCTAGGCAGCTTGTTTGGTTCATTGGCTTAATACTGTCCAAATCGAGACTCTAGCCTGTCGTGGTGGCACACACCTGTGATCCCAATGACTCGGGAGGCTGAGGCAGGAAATTCCAGAGTTGAAGGTCAGCCTGGGCAACTTAATGAGACCTTGTCTCAAAATAAAATAAAGTAGGGGCTGGTAGAGCGGTAGAGCGCTCACCTAGCAGGGTGGGACCTGGGTTCGATCCTCAGCACCAACATTGTGTTGTGTTCATCTACACATAAAAAAGTAAATATTAAAAAAATAAAATAAAATAAGGTAGATAGGGCTGGGGCCATAGCTCAGTTGGTAGAGTGCTTGTCTTGCATGCACAAGGCCCTGGGTTCAATCCTTAGCACCACATACACATGCACAAAAAAGATAAGTCTGGGAACTAGCTCAGTGACAGAGCACCCCTGGGTTCAGCATCCCTGAGTATGCCCCCCCAAAAGAGTCTGGACTCTTGTCTGTTTTGCCATCCTAGCTGATGACAAGAAGGCACCGGTGCTCAGAGAGGAACATCTCCCTGGCCTTCATGCCCACTCAGCAGGACACCTGTGTTCTGCTTTTCACTCTCGTCCTGTATTGTATTACAGGATCTGTCTTTCCTTCCTAAGTTTCAGGTCCTTGAGGACAGGATGGTTAGGGGCTTGCTTATCCTTATGACCTCTGTATTGCCCAGTAGCTGGGTGCAGTGCAGATTTTTTAAAAGCAATGCATCTTGCCAGATAATGGAAATAGTGAACAAAATTTCCCAACCAAAGGACATGTCACTCAACTATGTAAGTGACCTCCTGAGATCCTCAGGAATTAGGAGGTGGAAGGCTGGCGAGCACAAGGAACCCGAGCTGCTGTTTATTGTCCAAGGAACCTCTACTATTCAGGGTGATGGTGGTTAACTATGGTGCTGTGTGAGGTGGTACATGCTTATGATCCCAGCTACTCAGGAGGTTGAGGCAGGAGGATCACAATTTAGCAAGTCTATATCTCAAAATCATTTTAAAAGGGTGGGGGATATAGTCATTGGTGGACCACAGAACCACCTTGTGCAAGTATAAGCAAAAATAACCAAGACGGGAGCAGATCTCAACGAATCAGCACCTAGTCTTTATTAAGTAGTGGTGGAATGGCGCATTTTCAGGGGAGAACATGGCAACTGGTACAAGAGGGGTCTTTTTTATAGGTTTTAATGAGAATTAATCATAGCAGAATGTTTAGTGTGACTTAATCATTAGAGACTTGGGCAGTCAGGAAACTAGTTGTGCAGGTTTAAAGTCTAAATCAGGAAAGTAGCTGTGAAAGCTGGAAACCCATTGTTATTGAGATGAAAGTCTAGAGCCCATCCTTTTTCTCTGGGGGTTATTACTCCATATCCTTCAGCAAGGCTCTGGGGTCGGTCCTAGTACTATAAAATAAATAAAACTAAAAAAAAAAATGTTTGTTGTCTTTCCTGACAGGTAGTTATCACCAGGCTAAAATTGGACAAAGATAGAAAAAAAATTCTTGAACGCAAAGCCAAGTCTCGGCAAGTTGGAAAAGAGAAAGGCAAATACAAAGAAGAGCTCATTGAGAAGATGCAGGAGTGAAGGTGGCCTGTCATACAACCACAGTTGAACTGGAAATGTCTGGCATGTGCTTCTCTGGAACTTTTTGGGGTCTCTGGAATGTTCCATTGCCCTCCTATTTTGTTATGAATCTATGGCTCTGTAAATCTGCTTTGCAATTTTGATTAATAATTTTTTGAATAAAAATTGGAACTGTTTCCTAAACTCAAGGATATTTTCTTCGTGTTATAAATGAAATCCATCTTATCAGTTCCCTTTCGCCAGCCTTTCATATGTTTGATCTGCAGTGGTGGGTTAAGACAGCCCTCCCTGCCTGTTTTCTCATGCTGCCGAGTGGGAAGGGCCAAGTAGGGCGCTGGTCCCAGAGGCAGGGGTTTGGCCCTCATTAGCAGCTGGGACACCAACTTACGGTTTGACCAAGCTCTGGGTACTGCTTTGTAGCCATGTCTCAGGCCTGCTGATCCCTATTTCCCTGCTCCCTCCATCATGCACCTGCCAAACCAGACCTCTCACAGCTTTGGTCCCTTCCCAAATACCTTTTCCATGGAACTGAAAGGCCCCTTACTCAGAAAACTAGCCACCTGTGAGCAAGACTTGGCCCATTTCATTTGTCCTTATATTTTTATAGTTTTTATATTTTCCAACTTTTAAAATCCAAGAGACTCCACAGAACCACATGACTGACCCGGCTGCATAGAGCCCTGTTCTGCATTGGTTGAGGCAGTGGGGCTGAGGAGCTGACCCCTCCCTCAATTGTGGTCTTAACTTGCCTGTCCCCCACCTCCATCTGAGATTTAGCCCCAAATCCATCTAAAATTCCCCCACACACCTCTGAAGAATAATTGTTTAAAGTGCATCAAGTTGTGTGTATGTGTATGTGTTGCTGGGATCAAACCCAGGGCCTTGTGCCTGCTCTGCAAACACTGCCCCTGAGCTCCACCTCTAGCCATTTTTGTGGTCCTCTGTTCCCTATTTATCTCAGAAGTTAGAAATGCTTATCTTTAAAGTTGTGGAAATTGAATATATATATATATATATATATTTCAGACTGGCCTGATTTTGAGTCACCTGGGTGCTTGCTAACATCAGTCCTATCCTCTTGCCTAGAGATTCCATATTGCAGTAGATCTTTAAGAGATTTGTGCATATGTGTCTCATATGGACTTTGTGTCATGACCACATTTGGAAAATAAAATTGGGATGCATGGAAATCATAACACAACTCATAAATAGTAGCTGCCCATCATATACAGTGGTACTAATGTTTACACAATAACTGTGTAATCATTCACATGCTGTTATGGTTTGAATGTGAAAGCTCACATGTGAGACAAGCAAGAAGGTTGGGAGATGATTGGGTCATATCCTTGACCTAATCTGTGAATTAATCTATGATGGGATTAACTGGTACCTGGAGGCAGGTGGGGTGTGGCTGGAGGAAGTAGTTCATTGAGGTCATAGCTTTGGGGTATATATTTTGTATTCATTGGGGGCATGGCTTTTGTATTTGGAGAGTGCAAGATTCTCTGCCTTCTGATCACCATGTGAGCTGCTTCCTTCTGCCACACTGTCCCACCATGATGCTCAGCCTCGCATCGAGCCCTGAGGAATGGAGCTGGGCTTCTGTGGACTAAGACCTCTGAAACCATGAGCCCCCAAATAAACATTTCCTCCTCTAAAATTGTTCTGGTCATGTCCTTTAGTTACAGCAGCGAAAAAGCTGACTAAAGCAGAAAGCAAGGTGTTGCTGTGCCTAACCTGACTGTTAAACCATGATGCAAAGAAAAGACCTCGGACTCCAATTCTAAATCAAATTAAAGCAAGCTTGTAATTCCTACTAGCCGGGACTGTCCCTCTCCCGAAATCTGTGGGATAGAAGACAGTACTACAGCTCTCTAGGAGTGCAGCTTTATAGCAGAGGGCGTGTCTTGAGAACTTAGAGATAACAGACTTTTGACAAGCATAATACAAAGGCAGGTGGTAGGTTAATAGTCTAAATGGTTCAGCACTTGGGGAGTAAATTTAGATCCCAGCATCAGAATGTATGAGGCGCCATTAGGGTTTCAGAGAGGGTTGTTATCTGGTCAGGGAAAACCAGGCATGGGTGAGTTCAAGGCATGGGCAGGCATTCCAAGTAAGTTTAAAACATCAAAATAACAGCCAAGCCAAATAGAAATCCTAATATTTTACAGAAAACAGAAGTGAATCATGTATAACTTTTGACAAGATAGCTCCTGATCTTAAGAGGGAATTAGGCTGGGTTTATCACTGACCATGTGGTTCAGAAGCTTTTTGAGCTTTTTGGAATTGTTAGGAGGAATTTTGAGATGTTTAGCAGAGCAAGCTGGAAATGTTTTGTGTTATCCTAAGTGGAGCTTAATGGCCAGTTCTGAAGGGAGCTCAGAAGACCAGAATGCCAATATGATCATGGACAGTGAAGACAGGGCTCAAGAGGGTTTAGAGGAAAAAGAGGACTGTTGGTAATTGGACTAGAGGCCATTCCTGTACATTCTGGCTGAAAGTTGTCTACATTTTGCCTGTGTCCTAAGACTTTGTGTGAGGCTGATTTTATTTTAAAATATTTTTTAGTTGTCAATGGACCTTTATTTTATTTATTTATATGTGGTGCTAAGAATCGAACCTGTGCCTCATACATGCTAGGCAAGAGCTCTACCTATCTGAGCCACTACCCCACCCGAAGGCTGATTTTAAAAGCGATGGACTTTTGTTTTTTTAAGAGAATTTTTTTTAATATTTATTTTTCAGTTTTTTTCGGTGGACACAACATCTTTATTTTTATTTTATGTGGTCTGAGGATTGAACCCAGTGCCCCACACATGCCAGGCGAGCGCGTTACCACTTGAACCACATCCCCAGCCCACAATGGACTTCTTAATCTGGCAGAAGAACTTTCTAGGTAGCAAGGATATTGCTGGCAGCTTTTAGCCAAATTTATTGTGATAAATTGGAACAGAAAGATTTGGAAAACGTGTACTTGAAAGGCCAGAGTAAAACTAGGGCTAAATTGCAATTGTTAAAGACATTACTGCCACTGCAGAAATGCTAAAGACTTTGCCCAGAGACTAAGATAGTTTGAGGGCATCTAAGAAGCTGGCAAGACCACACCCATCTCAAGCTCTTTGGAGAAAAAGTAAAAATTCTCTTGAGAAGAGATCTATGGGGCACCCTTCATGCACAAGAGGGCTTAGGAAGTTTTTCGACATGCTTGATAAACCCAGCCTAATTCCCTCTTAAGATTGGGAGCCATCTTGTCACAAAGGCATGAAAAGTTAATTTCGGCTTTACTGTGTGATAGTAAAAGCAAATGTGACTCCATTTTGTTTTGTAACTTCATTCTGTAAAACAACCATGCCAAGTAGAAGGGTTATGACTGGGGCAAGATGTTATTTTCCTTTTGCTATAGAAACCTTTAAGAACAAGGAACTACCTAAGGGGCATTGTTTTTGTAACTAGGGTAACGGGGCTCTGTTTCTGTAACTGGGGTGACTGGGCTAACTGTGATTGGTTAGGCTTCCCTTCGCTTGACTGCACTGTCCCGCTTCTGTAACCTGGCTTGCTTGCATTGGTTAGACCCCCCGAACATCCCTTTTGTGGTTTCAGGCTTATAAGGAGTGCTCTTGCTATTGTTCGGGGCTGATCAGGGGAACAGCTTTATGTTGTGGTCAGTCGCCACCGGTGTGCTTTAATAAAGGCTTGATTCCATTATATGTGAGTGGTCTGGAAGTCAATATATGAAACCCTGGGACGAAGCTTTAACTATAGCATCTGGGGGCTCGTCCAGGATCCATTTCTTCCTACCCTCATGCCAAATTTGATTATATGGGAGTGGTCTGGAAGTCAATTTATGAAACCCCAGGACGAAGTTTTAACTATAACAACTATAAATTACTGAGATTTCTAAACTTGCTTGGAATGCCTGCCCATGCCTTGAACTCACCCATGCCTGGCTTTCTCTGACCAGATAACAACCCTCTCTGAAACTTTAGTGGCGCCTCATAAATTCTGATGCTGGGATCTAAATTTACTTCCTAAGTGCTGGACCATTTAGACTATTAACCTACTACCCGCCTTTGTGTTATGCTTGTCAAAATCCTGTTATCCGTAAGTTCTCAAGACACCCCCCTGCTTTTTGCAAACTTTCTGTGCTATAAAGCTGAGCTTCTAGAGAGCTGCAGGGCTGTCTTCTATTCCCATGGGTTTCGGAAGAGACAGCCCCGGCCGGTCGGAATTACAAGCTTGCTTTAACTTGATTTATATTGGAGTCGGTGGTCTCTTCTTTGCGTCCTGGTTTAACAATGCACAGCCACCCAGGTACTCAGAGACTTCTGCAGCCAAAATCCCTGGAGGCTTGGCTACTGCTCAAGATGGCAGCAGACCTTGGTGTCAACCATGTGGGGTTGGTTCTGCAGGAACGCAGGTTGCTGGAGTTAGGGGGTCATGGAGGCTTCCACCAAGATTTCAAAGGAAGGCCTGGGAGGCCAGGCAGAGTGCAGCAGGGTCGGAGTCCCTTCGGGCGGCCCACGGGAGGGAAAAGTGTGGAGATGTGAGGAGGAAGCCGAAGCTGCAGCGGAGACCCCTGAGATGAAGAAATGCCAGTAACACGGGACATCATCCTAGGGAACTGCTCATGCAGGAACTGAGCAGAGACAAGCCAACAGAAAGGCCACTCGGGCCACAGGGGCAGAGCTACACAAGCCCTTTGGAGAGAACATCACGATGCCCTGTCCCCAGACACTGGACGCAGAACTGTAGGACTTGTTTGCCCAACTGGATTTCAGTCTTGAAGAAAGCACTCCATGCCTTCTTCTATGCCCCTGTTTTTGCAATTGGAAATGTTAACTCAGTACCTTTATATATTGGATATTTGTAAATTGCTTTTAATTTTACAGGAGTTTACATTGTGTGATTGCCTTGAACTCAGAGAAGACTTTGGACTTGAACTTTAAGCAATCTCGGAACAGTTGAGACTCTTGGGACTCTTGGGAATGGACTAAATATGTTTTGCATTGTCAGATGATTGTGAGCTTCTGGGGGCCAGGAAGGGAATGTTATGGTTTGGATGTGAGGTATCCCCCCAAAGCTCACATATGAGACAAAGCAAGAAGATTTAGAGAAGAAACGATTGGGTCATATCTTTTACCTAATCAGCTAATTAATCCCTGATGGGGTTAACTGGTAATTGTAGGCA